TGAGCCACATAGCTCCAGCCCTCGGGGGCTCCAGTCACATGAGCAGGTAACTGGCGTGGAGTCTGGTGTGTCCCAGTGTGTGCCGGGAGAGCCCAAAGGTCAGGGTCAGGGGTCAGCCCCACAGCAGATGGGGAATATAGGAGAAGGGACGGGAAGTGGAGGCAGGAGCTGCCATTCACAGAGGCTGGAGAAGTAGGAAAAGCTCCATCACAAAGTTCTGTGAGTGGCAGACTCGGGACCTTGGATCTTTTCCCAGAATCAGTAGGGAGCCTTGCAGAGTTTCTAAGTGGGGTGGTAATAAGCAAACGCTGCGCTTGTGTTCCATGAAGCGAATTTTCAAAAGCACTCTTGACAAAGTGTTTTCACACGCATCCCAGCATCTGCTCCCTCCTCCACCCTCTGTGAGAGACGAGGGCAGCTAAGACATCGCATGGAAGAGAAGATCCAGCGGCAGAGAGGAAGCTCACTGGGATTGCTTAGGATGCACAAAGCAGCACCGGGCTCCCGTCCAGGGCTCTGGCGTCAGGGTCCTGATCCCTGGTGCTGGGGGCAACTCTTCTGAGGAGAAATTTGTTTACAAAAACTATAAGGCAGAGAGAAAATGATGATCTTTAATATTAATGATAATATGATTTCCATCATTTATTGAGTGCCTGCTGTATGCCAGGAGCTGCACCACCATTAAAAATGCATTATCTCATTTAAACCCTATAACAATTTGTGAAGCTAACTAGTAATATTCTCCTCTGTGCAGAAGGAAACTGAGGTTCAAAAAAGATACCTTCTATTTCTGCAGGTCTGGGATCGAAATCCAGCTCTCTTGCTTTTTAAATACCGTAATGCGGCCGGGTGCAGTGATTCACACCTGTTATCTCAGCACTTTTGGAGGCTGAGGTAAGAGAATTGCCTGAGCCCAAGAGTTCAAGACCAGCCAGAGCAAGATAGGGGGACTCCATCTCTATAAAAAAATAAAAATGAAATAGCTGGGCATGGTGGCACGTACCTGTAGTTGCAGCTGTTCAGGAGGCTGAGGCAGGAGGATCAGTTGAGCCTGGGAGGTCGAGGTTGCAGTGAACTGTGATGGAGCCACTGCACTCCAGCCAGTCTCCAAAACAAACAAACACTGTAATGTCCCCTCCACAGTCTGGTGCCTTCCTTCTCCAGGTAGATGACCACCTGGTCACCTCAGATTCAGGACCTGGGCGCCCAGACAGCACCAGGCAAGCTGTCCCCTGCCTGCCTCCCTCTCTGATGGCTGGATTCTTTACGGAGCCCAGCCTAGCTACTCAGATGCATGCTCCATGAATGGGCCAAAGAAACAGTGTGCCAGAGTGGAAATGTGACACGCTTCTGCTCTCTGGGGCATTCAGCCAGGAACTGCGTGCATGGTTCACCTGCCTGTGAAGACAGCCGGCCAGTGAGTTACACCTGCCTTCCTCACCTGAGAGGAGGGGCAGGAGGCCAAACATTGCATGGAAATTAGAGACAGTTGGTGGGGGCAGGGGGTGGGGGTGGCATTGGGAAGAGCTTAGCATTTTGGGGTCAGGTGACAACTCTGTAAATACTTACTGAGCTGGTGACATTGCCTGGCTTCTCCTCTGCTCTTCTGTGTGGTTTGCACAATTTGGCTCCCCTTTCCAGCCTCACTTTCCCCTTCTCTTTGTGCTCTGCTGATTTTCTTGAATCAATGAACAGAAGGAAGAAGTGACATTGGATGAGACAGTGACACCCCGGGGTGGTGATTTCTGTGTCAAAACCTAAAGGAGAGCCTGGATCCACGGGGAGGATGGGAGGGAGAGGTGTGCAAACCTTAGGCTCCTCAGAAACCTTCCTGGAGGAGGCAGAGGTGAACGAGAGGGATCTCCCTGAAGAGAGGGTGGAGTGGGCCTCCCCGTCAGACATCACAGGGGCTGCTGATGGCTGGAGTGTGGAAGGACGGGAGGAAAACAGCAGCGCAGAGCCTGTGTTTGGAGCATGGAAACATGGCAGACTCGAAGTGCAGAGGGCAGGTTTCTAGATCAGCTCGGCCTCTCCAGGGCTGCACGACGTTGGGGAAAATTGCTCCATGTTTTCCTTTGTCTCTTCTGTGAAATGAGAATCCTGGTAAATCACTTTATCTTCATACCCAAGAGGCTGACAGTGAAAAGTTTTTGCAAACCGTAAAGCTCTGTTCAAATGCAAAGATGTGTTCTTCTACATGGGAAGCCAACACCACTCCTAGATTCCCTAACTGATACTTGCTAGGTGTCCCTTGCACCTGTGCATCAGTGTTTGGGGGCTGCCTCTTGGTTCTCTTTCCTTTGCCCTGAATACAAACCCGTGAGGTCATGGGAACACACCAGCCAAGTAGCCTGGACGTTGAGTCTGCAGGGACTCATTCCAGGGGGTGTTTTCAGCTCAGCCCCAGTCTTGGGGAGTTCCTTTTCAACTGAGCCCGACAGAGATGGATTCCAGTGACCTGCAGAATCCGGGATATGGCTCTTTCATCCTAGTCTCACTGAGACAGATTTAGGCACTCCCACTTTCATGTGAGCTTTGCCAGCTGGACCTGAACTGTTTGCTCATTTATGCATGAGGCATTTGTGCACTCCTGGCCAGAACTATCCCTCCCTTCTTTCCTTCTTTATCCCTTTACCCCTTTGCCTCTCCGCTTCCCACCACTCTTCTTCCACTTATGTCTTTCAACATTTCGAGGAGCACCTGCCAGGCCCATGCTGGGCATCATGGACAGCAGAGGTGAATCTAAGCATGGTCCCTGCCTTCGTGGTGCTCACGTGCTCGCAGGGGAGACAGGCACTGGAGTTGAGTGCAACACTGTAAACTGTAACACGTATATTTCACTCATGGAGGGGGATCGGGCTCTGGAGAAAGCTGGAGGGTGATGAGCAGACCCACCCAGGGTGGGCAGGGCCCCAGAGGCGCTTGCTGCATGCCCGCTCTATGCATAGCTGCTGCACACATGCCCACAGTGAGACACAGGAGGCACTGCTCAGACACATTGATTAAAGTTGTTAAAATTGTCTAGTGTTTCGAGATTCGGAAAACCTGAACACTTTGATTCTTCTAGCAACTTTATGAGGTGGTCGGCTGAACATAAGAAAGGGGTTCAAAAATGTCTGGTGGTGGACTGAGCCAATACCAGAAGCTAGAGTCAGCCTGCAGGGGTAGGAAGTCAAGCAAGGATCGGGGACCGGAAGTCAGGGTTAATCCCTGTAGAGCTGTCCAAATAGCACCCGACACATCAAGACACTCAGTGGGTAATGTTACCTCTTATAATTGGTTGCTGTTTTCCAAAGAAAAGGAAGATGCCCAGAGACCATCCAATCTAACATCCTCGTTGAACAGAGGAGGAATCTGAGGCCCAGAGAGATGTCAATGGGAAGGCAGCCATAGGACACTGAGTCCAGGCTCCCTGATTCTCAGCGCTGTGCACCCACACTCTCCACCACACAGAGCAGCCTCTGTCATGGGCCCAATGTTTTCTCTCTCAACACCTGGTTGTCGCCATGCCTGGAAGTATCACCTGCATCCTGTTAGACACAGGAGCACAGTTTAAAGGCCATAAACATTCACGAGGATATAAACCTATCAAGTAAACGCCACCTCAAACTTGGCATCTCTAGTAGAGCCCAATAAAATTTGCTGACTGCGGGGTAGCTAATATTTAAAGCTGGTTATTGTCACAACAGACTTTAATGGTTTAGCATCTTCAGTGCTTAATTGCCCTTTATTAGATCATTGCAGAATGAGATAATTGGACCAAGCACTTGAACTTCTGACTCTCTCCTATTTATTTGGTGGTGCACACAGATGGGGAATTTCACAAGTGCCTTTTAGGGCTGGCGCTCACAGAGCTCTGGGCAGCCTGGAGTTCACTGCCACTGTATTTACTCAGGGCATGCTTGATTCATAAAAGCTGCATTTCCTAGAGTTTCTCACTTTCATTTTTTCTGCTTATAAGAGGTAAATTATACATTTCCTTTCCCCTTTCCTTCTGTCCTTTTGTTTCCAGTACAAGTCACTGTTATTAAAACACAATTCACTTCAGAGTCAGTTCTCTTGGGTTTATAGAAGTGCATATTTCATACTGAGCATAAAAGTCAAGGAAATTTAATGTTATTCCTAAAGGAGAATGTGCTCGCTTTTGCAAAACAAAATGTAAATTCTGGCTACCTTGGTTGTTGGGTTTGGGATAAAGGAATATTTACATAACTTCCCGCCTTCAAAGGGATGCAGATATGGGCTTGTAAAAAAATGTCTGCTGACAGGCACATCAGAGCCTGAAAAGTATTCACACCTTTGAAAACTGACGGGTACTAGCTGCTCTGGAGGTTCTTGATTGGTCACTGAGACACAGATCTAACTAAATGCACGATTTATCATGGTATGATTTATAATAGTGAGTTCTTAGCAACAATCTGAATGTCCAGCTGCCAGGAAATGGGTGAGTAAATGATATATTCAATCCATGAAATAGTGGCCTTTTCACATTTGTTCAGCTCGTAGTTATTGAATGCCTACTGTGGGTATCAGGGACAGTGTTAGGAGGTAGCTATGCAATGATGAGTGGGAAAATTATGCAGTTGTTAGCAATCACTGCTGCAAAGATGATGCTTTGGGGAAATCTTATAATACAAAGTCAAACCCCCCCCCAGAAATGTTATTATCTCAATTTTGTTGAAAGCACACAAAACACTGGGAAGGTTGACTTATTTTTTGTTTTTATCTCTTTCTCCAAATATCTGTAAGGCACACATAAAACATCTCTAGTGAGGAAAAACAAGAAAGTTTTCTAAAAAGCATTTGACGTGTTCATTTGGAGGTTCCCCTGTTAGGAATTGTGTCTGTGTGCCGGAAGTCACTGCACCTTTGGAAGTGACAGGAGAAGGTGCCGTCCACGGTAGAATGGCTGCTGGCCCCAGGGAGATGTTTTATCACCGGGAAACATGCAGGGTGTTCATGCCTTCAGCTCATCCCGGTACCCGGCCTTCTTCCTCCAGAGCCTCATGGGAAACCACGACTTCTCCCTGCCCGTCCCTGTCAGCACACAGATCTGCCGGCTGGTTTCCATAAGCAATTGGTCAGAGCAAACAAAGGTCTTTCATCATCTGCTCCATGAACTCCCTTGGTGGCCTGGAACCCAGCTACTGCTGTCTGAGGTAGCTTCGGTGTGTGGGTGAGTGTGTGTCTGTGTATGGGGTGTGTGTGTGTGTGTGTGTGTGTGTGTGTGTGTATGAGAGGGGAAGAGTGAGAACTAGCCCATGAAAGGGCTTTGTTTACAGTTTTTGCCTTTGACCTTATAAGATTACCTTGCAGTTTTTATTCCAGGATCCTGTGTATGGTAGACACTCAGTGAATAGAAAATGGATACTGTTTCCAAGTAATTTTGTGAAAGATTTTTATTTTGGCCTTAGTAAGCTCTATCTGAATTAAATTTTCAGGTGTATTATGAACATTTACCCTTTATAGATGACCATAAACATTATGTTCCTTAATATATTGCAAGTTGCACGCATTAATGTGAGCTCCATATTTGCCAGAGGCCTCTAGGAAGCTGTAACTGGTACTCAGGTGAGTGAGACAGGCCTCCTGTGCAGTAGAGCTCATCGACTCAGGACATATCAGTGGCAGGACACAGGGGGGTTCTGGGACCCCAGGGTAGGTACCCAGGCAGGTGTTGGGGAGGGGATTGGCAGTGCATTTGAGGAAGGTTCCCTGGAGCAGGCCATGTCTGAGCTGAGGCATGAAGAATGGGTATATTAGTCTGTTCTCACACTGCTGCAAAGATACTACCTGAGACTGGGTAACTTATAAAGGAAAGAGGTTTAATTGACTCGTACTTCTGCATGACCGGGGAGGCCTCAGGAAACTTACAATCATGGCAGAAGGAGAAGGGGAAGCAAGGCACATCTGACATGGCGGTAGGAGAGAGAGAGAGACAGAGGGAGAGCAGAGTTACTCCCACTTTCAAACCATCAGATCTCATGAAAACTCTCTCACTATCACCAGAACAGCATGGGGGAACCTTGGGGATACCCAAGCCATATCACTGGGTAGGAGTCGTCAAGCAGAGGGCAGAGACAGAAAGCAAGAGAGTAAGCTCCAGGCAGAGGGAACAAAGGAGCATGGGGGAGAGGTTAGAAAGACTGGAGGGAGTGGAGTGTGGTTGAAGTGGGGAGGGGTCAGTGTCAGAGATGGGCTGGAAAAGGAGCAAGGCCTGGAGGCTTTGGACACATGACCCTCTGAGCTGTTGCCATGAGACCTGCTTCTGGGCCCTGATTCCTCAGTCTCTCTCCCATGGCCTGTCCTTTGGCCTCCAGGCACAGCTGGCTCCAGGGGAGACTGCACCCACCAATCATTCTCTACCACCTCCATCTCCTGCTTTGTGGTCACCAGCATCTGACAAGCATGCACCTGCTCCCTGTCTTCCCCTTCCACAGTAGGCACCATAAGAGCAGGATCTTCCATGTATTTCACCAGAAACATGGGCACATGGAAAGCAGTCATGAAATATTTGCTGATTGGATGAATGGTCAGTGAATGAATGAATATGGATGAGCCGCAGAGCCACTCTGGTTCCCCTGGGGCCAGAGTTCAGGTTTCAATGTTTGTGTGGGAAACAGCTGGAAGGATGAGTGGTCATGCAGGCAGGGTGGGCCTGGGGGCAGCTTTTGAACTTACAGCCTGGTTTATTTCAACCACTTTATTGTGCTTGTCATTTGGCTTAGAAATATGGTCTGTGGGCCCGGGGACACAGGTCCTGTGCTGGGTCATCTGCCCTTTTAAAAAAAAATTGAGGCAAAATTCACATGACATAAAATTCACCATTTGAACCACTTTAAAGTGCACAGCGGAGAGGCTTTTAGCACCTTCACAGTGTTGTGCAACCATCACCACTAATTTCAGAACATTTTCATCATCCTAAGAAGAAACACTGTTCCCTTTAGGTCCTTGAGGCAGTCCCTGTCTGTTCCTTCCCCGCTCTGGGGTAACTGACATCCAGCGGCCCACCTTCCGTCTCTGCGGGTCTGCCTGCTCTGGACACTTCGTGTGAACAGAATCATGCACCATGTGGCCTTCATATCTGTTTCCTTCCACCTAGTGTCCCATTTTCAAGGTCAGTCCCCGCCGTAGCAGGTGACAGTGCGTCATTCCTTCTCATGGCCGAGTAATGTTCCCCTGGATAGATGAGCCACATGTAGGTCCTCCATTCATCAGCTGGTGAACATTTGGGTTGTCTCCATTTTCTGACCATTATGAGTGTTTAGGTCACAAGATTAATATGTGCTCATTATAAAAATCTAAACTTTATTGAAAGACACACTGGGCGAAAGGAAAATCCCCTGGACCCCCTCCTTCCAGCTATCATGTCGTCTGCATGGATCTGTGTGTGACTCCACTTTCCCCATGGCAGACTCAGCTGCCGACGCCCACAGGAGCCCCTCTCTGCCCACAGTCACAGCCTTCCCCGTGAGGTCTTAGGTTTCTCTGCATTGCTGAGATCTTGCCCTGGGTCTGCATCTCCTCCCAGCCCTCCCCAGTCCTTAAGACCCCCTTCCGAACTTACATCACCTAGTGAACTCTAGCTCAACCCCCGCTCCTAAGGGTGGGTCCTGGGCCTGGCTCAGTGCTTCCCCAATCCTGGTCCTCGCTCCCAAACCCTGGTCTAGGTGTCTGTCTCCCCTACCAGACCGTGGGCCCCCCAAGGCCAGGGCCATGCCTGGGCATTTCTGTGACCACAGGGTTGTGCTCAGGTGGTGCTGGGTGGAAGCTCACATTGGTAGGAGAAGCAGGTTACCATAGAAACCCAGTGTTATGCTTGGTGAAAGGACAGGATCTGCCCATGGGACGCAGCCATCCTCCTCTCGGCATTTCCCGGGGCCAGGCTGGCTGCTTCTGCCAGCCCTTGTTCACTGGTAGCGTCCTCCCGACAGGGCGACCATCGGTCCCGAGGCCCTGTGGCCTTGCCTCAAGCTTATCTTCCAGTTCTCAGAATATACGGTTACCAGTTCCCACACAAGCTTCAGGGTTCCCCATGCCTCCCCGCCTGGAATGGTCCTTTGCAAAGAAAGTCGGGGAGCCTGGGGCCTGGGGGTCCCCCAACAGCCCTCCCCACTAGAGCTCACTCCCCACCACACCTCTTTGCTGCTTCAGGGGATGTGGCTCTCCCCTCACCGAGTGCCATATCCCTCCCCTCTGCCCATCTCAGAAGGCCCTCCATCAGCTGGTCCCAGCTCTTCCCCACTCAGTGAGGTCTGTCTCCGCTCCTTTGCTGGCCTCTCCCTCCCCACCCGAGTGGCCAAGACCAACATCTTGGCAAACCCAAAGGCAGCTTCCTGGTCCTCCCCTATCTGGTACATGGCCACTGCTGAGAACCTCCTGCCCCGCCCCCCAAACCTCTCCCACTCCCCTTCCTGGTCAGGGAATTCCCAGGCTTCCTCCCGAGCTGTGCACCTGCCATCCAAGGGCTTCTTCCCAGAGTTCTACCCTTGCCCTGGCACGCGGCGCCCCCTGGGACCTCCCTGCTGAGCTCCAGACCTTCTGACCTGCTGTTCTGTAGTAATGCACCTTCCTGTTCCCACCCGGATGTTCCATGGGCAACTGAAAGTCAGAGCTGCAGCTGAACTCGGCATCTTCGTCTATAAAGCCGCTTCGTATTGTGCAAGTGGATACCCCTCTCCCCACATCCACACGGAACTTAATCTCAGTCCCCAGCCCAGGAGCCCCTCCTCCTTCCTCCCCGAGAGAGGCGGCTGGCCACTCTGATGGAAGAAGACCTGGCCTGCTGCTCCAGGCCTGCCCTGAGTCCTCAGCACTTACAGCCCTGCAGCCGGGTACTGGGGCTTCTCAGCGGCTCATGCTCAGGGCCAGGCCAGGAGGGTTCTCTATCCCTGCTCAGCCTCCAACAAACGCACTCATTTGGCCTTTCCTGCTCTCTGCTCCTGCTAGCCCTGGGTGTGGGGCAGGCTGGGAATGTGCTGTGTCTGTCCCAGTTCTCCCTAAGGTAGGCCTCCAGGGCTGGATATGGGGAGGGTCCAGGAGCCTCCACTTTTGTCCTCGAGCCTAAGCCATCAGCTCCTGGAGTTTAATCAGAAAGTGATGATTTTGGTTTCCATTTGACTCTTGGCTCTTCTATTAGTCAGGGTTCTCTAAAGGGACAGAACTAATAGGATAGACACATATATGAAGGGGAGTTTATTAAGGAGTATTGACTCACATGATTAAGAGGTGAAGGCCCACAATAGGCCGTCTACAAACTGAGGAGCTAGGAAGCCAGTCCGAGTCCCAAAACCTCAAAAGCAGGGAAGCTGACAGTGCAGACTTCAACCTGTGGCCCAAGGCCTGAGAGCCCCTGGGAAACCACTGGTGTAGGTCCAAGAGTCCAAAAGCTGAAGAATTTGGAGTTTGGTGTCTGAGAGCAGGAAGCATGCAGCATGGGAGAAAGATGAAGGCTGGAAGACTCAGCAAGTCCGCTCTTCCACCTTCTCCTGCCTGCTTTATTCTGGCAGCACTGGCCGCTGACTAGATGGTGCCCACCCAGACAGAGGGTGGGCCTGCCTTTCCCAGCCCACTGACTCAAATGTTTATCTCCTTTGGCGGCACCCTCACAGACACACCCAGGATCAACAGTTTGCGTCCTTCAACCCAATCAAGTTGACACTCAATATTAACCATCACAGCTCTCTGTGTGTGTGGCCTAAGTCTGCAGGCTGGAGCCATTGGGAGGAAGATTGGTGGGAGGGGGCAGGTTAGGAGTGACCACACAGCCTCCCATATTCCCTACTAATGGATCATGCCTGGCACCAGGCCAGCCTTCTCCCCCCACCCCCGCTCCCTACCCCTCACGCAGCCCTGTGGGTTCTGCCTCCTTTCTATCATTCTCTCCATCTGCTTGCACCTGTGCTGGTGGGGTGGGGTCCAGGCACTAATGCTCACCTGTCCCCAGCCGCCCCTGCCACAGAAGCCTCCTCCCTGAGTCTGTCTACCTAATCTGCATCCCCCTTCCCCTTGTTAGCAATGAACACAATTAGTAGCACACATGAGGTGCCAGGCTCTGCACTTGGCCCAGAGTTCACACTCAGGGCTTATTGCCATCATCGTTTCTGTCCTTGTTCCTGTTGTTATTACTGGACTTGGAGTCAGAAGCAGGTTCGAATCC